ATGCAATTATCAGGTCTGTATAGGGATACCGCTATATGCAATTATCAGGTCTGTATAGGGATATCACTATATGCAATTATCAGGTCTGTATAGGGATACCGCTATATGCAATTATCAGGTCTGTATAGGGATATCACTATATGCAATTATCAGGTCTGTATAGGGATATCACTATATGCAATTATCAGGTCTGTATAGGGATACCACTATATGCAATTATCAGGTCTGTATAGGGATACCACTATATGCAATTATCAGGTCTGTATAGGGATACCGCTATATGCAATTATCAGGTCTATATAGGGATATCACTATATGCATTTTCTAGGTCTGTATACTGTAAAATAACTTTTTTTTGTTTGGCATTAATTTTCACTATTTTTGCTGAAAAAATTTGAATGAAAATAAAATCCCATTTTCCATTCAACTTGTCAAAAATCAGTAAAAATAAACTCTGTACAAAACACCCAACGAAAATTAAGTCTTGCTGAAAGTATTTCACAGTAGGGCCACCACTATATGCAATTATTTGGTGAAATGGTTAAAAAGAAAAGACACTGAGATTCAGAATTTCATTACTACTATAATCTGTTGACAAAACATGTATAAATAGATTTTTTCATAAAAACACATGTATTCAGCTAAGGAATGACGGGATAAGATTAGTTTGGTTAAAAATTCCTCAAAAATGTTACATCACATAATTCTGTTTTTGATAATGAATTTGGGGTTGTTCCAGCATTATTTAAAATTTGTAACCAAAACAAGACTATTATTGAAATATTATGTGTGTGGCAGTGTCTGTCTCACAACCAGTATTACCCTGACATAATTTTTATAAGATTATTTGCAAAAATTGATTAATACAAAACTTAAAGAAAAAAATGATTAATTAGTTAGGTTCTTAACATATGTCGGTAAGGGGTTGACCATTTAGAACTCTGTGTAGAAAGAGGGGTGAATACTGAAAAACCAAATCTGCAGAAAAATAATTCACAGGAAAAACATTCAATTTAAAAAAAGAAGTTACAATCAAAACTGTTCAACCTGCAACACATTGGGTATATGTTATGAATGATACAATTGTGAGCAGTATGTTTCATGACCTGCCATGGAGTGATTAGACAATAGCAGATGTTGATTACTTATATGGAACTGTGAACAAAATAGAAAAGCTGCAACGAGTCTGTGACGGCGCACAGGATGCATACACACGGACAAATCCCAGATACCGATGTTCTTTAA